GTGTGTGTGTGTGTGTGTGTGTGTATATATATATATATATATATATATATATATATATATATATATATATATATATATATATATATATATATATATATAATTTATTTTTTATTTTTTTGGCCTCTTTTAGATAGCAAAGTAATGACACAGGAAACGAAGTGGGAGAGAGAGACAAGGGTAGGTATGGGAAATGTCCTTGAGCCAGGATTCAACTCAAATATGTTGGCGCGTTAACCATTAGGCTATTGCGCCAATTGGATATAAACAGATATATATCTCTTTTTTGACCTGACCTCCTAGTTTAGTTTCTCATCAAATCTTCTGTCCAATCAAATGCTCTTTAGTATCTGATATGCCCCGCCCTCTTCCATACTATTTTTCATATCATAAGTTTGATCTTAATCATTCTCACTGGCAAAACTATGATGAAAACCAAATTCTATTGGCTATTTTTAAAAAGGGGAGGAGCTATTACATGTCCCGCCCCCTGTCTTCACTTCATCTTTCAGTTGAAATTGTCACATATTAAACAAGAATGCACATTTCATAGCACTTCATGAAACATTGTAACATAGTCATTTTGCTTCTCAACAAATGCGTTACGAATTTAAGAACGTTGAAATATTAGTCACAAATCCTGTGGAAGAGTGTGATTTCTGCGCAGTGTTGTGGTTGTTTGCTATTATGTGTGTTGGTGTTGTCACGATACTGGAATTCGATACCAATCAATACTGAAATTTTAAAAATCCATTTGAATCACTCCAGTGTCCCTATATCTGTGGTTGCACGCAGTAAACAGCGGTGAGTTCGGTGAACTGATGACCTTCACTGCCAATCACAGTCCTTTCTGTTGAGCACGTGAACACAACGACGAATCAGCGCTGTTTATAAACGCACTCAAATGCTTGCTGGAAATGAAGGTTTTTAAATTTTCAGTATGGATTGGTATCGAATTCCAGTATCGTGACAACCCTAATGTGTGTTTGTGTATGAGAGTGTAAGTTTGCGGCGACTGCTTCACGTAGACTGAAGTACGGATGTACACATTGCTAGTTTACATGCATTCAACTGCCACCTTTGAAACTGTCCGGTCTCCGTCGGTAAACGAGCTCGTTTGTGACATCATCGCTTCTCCATTGAGGCTCCTCTGGTCAAATTGATTCATTAATCTCTGCGCAAAAATGATTTACTTATTTGCATTAATATCAAGTCTTCCGTTTGACACGTAGCCTCATTTTTGGAGTGGTGTTGTTCATATCGATGATTGAAACCGAGGGGGACGCCTCACAAAAACTACTGCACGGCACACACTGTAACTATTTAACCAACGAAAAATAAGCAATAAGTTATTTTTTTGAACTCAAGTAATAATGAACGCCGGTACCGGTGGTGCGATTTTTATGTGGCATTAAGAATTATTTTTCAGGAAAAAAATGATAATTAAAGAAGCTATATTTTTCAAGATCCGTTTGAAGCCCTTGTAAGTGTGTGAGATTTCTACAGTACGTGTTGGCTGTTTGTTTTGGATGAAAGGGGATCAGCGGTGGTTTTGGTGTAAGCATCAGAAGGCTGGCGCTCCGTACCGCTGCTGTGGAGCCGCACGCCGACACTGTGACCTGATGCTCCGCTCGCGCCCTTTACTGTATTTTTTTTATTTTTCACCTCTGGAAATTTTTCAAATAAAAAGATCCTAATAAATTATTTTAAAACATTCCATTTGACGCCTTCTGTATTTGCGTTTTTCTTCTTGTTGATAGTTGGGATGGATCTGTCCCATATACAGTTGAAGTCAGAATTATTAGCCCCCCTTAAATTGTTGTTTCTTTTTTAAATATTTCCCAAATGATGTTTAACTGAGCAAGGAAATGTTCACAGTATGTCTAATAATATTTTTTCTTCTGTAGAAAATCTTACTTGCTTTATTTCAGCTAGAATAAAAGCAGTTTTTAATTTTTTAAAACCATTTTGGGGACAAAAGTAATAATCCCTTTAGGCATTTCCCCCCCCCCTATAATCTACAGAACAAACCATCATTATACATTAACTTGCCTAATTACCCTATCCTGCCTAGTTAACCTAATTAACCTAGTTAAGCCTTTAAATGTCACTTTAAGCTGTATAGAAGTGTCTTGAAAAATATCTAGTCAGATATTATTTACTGTCATCATGACAAAGGTAAAATAAGTCAGTGATTAAAAAAGAGTTATTAAAACTATTATGTTTAGAAATGTGTTGAAAAAATCTTCTCCGTTAAACAGAAATCGGGGAAAAAATAAACAGGGGGCTAATTATTCTGATTTCAGCTGTATATTAAATATGCATATTTACAAATATACACCTTATATCATTACATATATGACATACAAGTTCATGTTTGGATTTACATGGACTACATTTGTAACATGTATTTCAAAATATTGCAAAAATGGCAGTTTATCTATATTATTATTATTATTATTATATATTATTTTCAACCAATGGGATTGCAAATATGTACATATATGATCAAATATATTAGTGGATATATTAGTGGCCAGACTGGTTCCAGCAGATAGAAAGGCAACAGTAACTCAAATAACCACTTTTTACAACCGAGGTCTGCAGAAGAGCATCTCTGAACACACAACACGTCCAACCTTGAGGCGGATGGGCTACAGCAGCAGAAAACCACACCGGGTGCCACTCCTGTCAGCTAAAAACAGGAAACTGAGGCTACAATTCACACAGGCTCACCAAAACTGGATAACAGAAGATTGGAGAAATCTTGCCTGGTCTGATGAGTCTCCATCCTGCCTTGTGTCAACGGTTCAGGTTGGTGGTGGTGGTGTAATGGTGTGGGGATATTTTCTTGGCACACTTTGGCCCATTAGTAGCAATCGAGCATCGTGTCAATGCCACAGCCTACCTGAGTATTGCTGCTGACCATGTCCATCCCTTTATGACCACAGTGTAGCCAACTAGACATCTTCTGACTTGCCTACAGCACTAATACTGACTAAATGTAAATGTAAATGGCTACTTCCAGCAGGATAACACACCATGTCATAAAGTGTGAATCATCTCAGACTGGTTTCTTGAACAAGACAATGAGTTCACTGTACTCAAACAACCTCTACAATCACCATAACTC